CGATGGACACGATATTTAAGCACACGACGAACACATTCGGAGCGCCCCGGTCGAAACCAGCGGTCAGCCTGTTCATTCCAGGCGAAGATGTCGCTTTCATGTGTCGGATCGCACTTGCAAGGTTGGCAGTTGTGATCGATGCGTCAAGCATCAGACGGTCGACTTCCGAGAAAAAACAGACGATCGAATCGAGGTACTCACGTTGCGTGGCCCCGTCAGGTGGAGGAGCTACTTTTGCTGGACTGTTGGGATCTCCCATCTCGCATCTTAGTGCTTCAGGAAGCTAAGCGAGATCTTTTGAGAATTTGTCGAGACACTTCCACTTGGTGTCACGACTTCCTCGACTGATACTCGTGTCCAGCTGACGAAAAAAGTACTTGGGGACTTCTTGGGTGTTGGCCGCTTGGAAGTGCAAAATTTTGGTTGTTCTGACTCACTCGCGTTACGGTCTCCTTGTAGTTTCTCATGGCTTTATCGAAGAGCTCGCAGTTCGAGTTGCTAGCTGCTGTACGATATGGAACAGCGGCTTGGTCGGGTGGAATGCAGGCGTCCTCAAAAGCTTGCGTTTTTTAATTCGAAGCTTCTTCTACACATCTTGCAGCCGTGTCTTGATGCTTACTTTCATTTCTCCTATACCATGCCGGTGCTCTCAGATCGCGAATTGGCTCGGCTTTCTTCGCGATCGCAGACAAAACTTTCGGGTAGTCAAGAAGGTTCCGCGAAAACTTCCAATAACCTTGCCCATGCAGCTGTTTGCCCGCCCAAAAGCTCACAAGGTAAGCGAGGTGGTCGCGAGCTTTCTTCAGTGGGATGTACTTTGAGTCGTCGAAGAAGCGGTTGTAGAGCGTCTCTGACTACCACGAAGTTGCCAAGCAGGTTTTTCTGAGGAAGCGGGCCGGTGAACACACGCACGTGTCGAAGTGCATCCGCTATATATCGATGACACCCAGCTTCGTTAACCACTCGAAACAGCTGGATTGGTCCGGGTCATACCAAAGTCAGGATGCAAAGCTTCGAGTCGAGGGTCGAGAAGAGTGTTGCGGTTGCCCAACCCAAAGTGCGTCGCTTGATCCTTGAACCCTTCTGACTCGAGATTCTCGAAGTTCCTGTCGATCAACAGGCGCATACACGTTGTGGATGCAGATGGGAGTACTCCCGACCATCACCTTCACGACCAAGTAGCGGCCTGCGGCAGACAGCTATGGGAATTCAATCGCCGAGTAGAAGCCAGAGGTGTCAGAGCGAAGCGCCGTGAGAACTCCACCACTCCGACCTCTCGTGGATCAGTCAAACAGCGAATCCGGGTCATTCACGAAGACTTTGCGCTCAAAGCTCGTGTTAGGGTAGAACTTGAACGTTGATAAGTGCGTGCCGTCTGCAAACTTAGTTTCTTGGACGCACGACACCGAGTACTTGGAGAGCAAGCTCTCAAAAGACTAATAATAATTGTTCTTTATGCCATTGGTGCTCACGGTGAGGACACTAACGTTGTTCCATGTCCCGGTGGACAGAGCAAATGGTTTAGCAACGAATTGTCCAGCCGCCCGCGATCATTACCATCCCGTCATCCACGTCTCGAAGCTGAAGCACCGATGAGCCATCAGGGTAGTACCCATCGAGCTCGCTCAGCGCTTCCTGGTCGTCGAGCAAGACACCCTTCCACTGCACCTTACTCCATTGCTGTATGCAGTGTATACCGAAGACCGTCCGTATTTGATTAGGGATCGTGTAGGGGTGCAGCATTCGCGTGTTGTGCGCATGTATCCACTCGACCGGCTGACCCAGGAGGTACTGGATCCGATGGTCATTGGCAAAGATCTTTGACACAATGAACATTAATGCCAGCTCGAGCATCCCCAAAACCTTGGTCGCTCGGGTCAGCTCTCGTGCCGACTCGAACGTGTCTCACCACGTGGCGCACGACTCAAAGATGTCGAGGTGCTTGGATGGATCTGCTGTTCCCAGCTTTATTTTCCACTTGGTGTCGAAAGTGAAATCTTTACCCGGCCGCGTCGCTGATAACACGCGATTGATTGTGTGTAGATGCGCGAACTCAGCAATTTCGGCCCTATTTCCTACCATCTTCAGTGACAGCGTGCTGTTGTAGGCGAGTGGACACTCGATCGTATTTTTGTGATGCAAAGGACGTTCGCGACTTTCTCGAGCAGCTTGCGCACTCTGTCGACATTCTTGTCTGCTTCCGCGAGACGGTCAGGAAGGGTATTGCGAAGCGCCGTGTTTTCGTCGTCGCATCGACTCGGTCACTTTCATGTCTGGAGATGCTTTTGATGCCTTCTCGATCTTCGTGTGCTGCGTCTCTCCAAAAAAGATGGGCTCGGTCGATGTCTTCACAGTATCAGGACGCTTCACATTCACTAGGATGATCTGGCAACGCACGCCGTACCTCTTATCGACTGTCACGTAACTCAATTCGAGCGATACCTAAATCAACTGGAGTGCATGGAAAGAGTTCTCGGTTGTGATACCATCCAGTCGCATCGGTTTCTGCATCACTATAAGAGCAGTGAAATCGAACCCGCTACGACCTCGCTTCTTGTTGCTCTTCGTGACGGTGGTGAAGCCGTCAGTCGAGTGCAACTCTTCGTCTTCGGACTGCCAGGGGGCGAGATCTTGCCGTTGAAGGTCGATATCGACAGTGCATCGTTTCGCTTGCTTGGTGGGATTACGAGTTGGTTGGAAGCAGGTCGCTGGTCATGCTAAGTTCCGCTCTGGAGCTGGCCATCCCGTTTACTGGCTTCCTCGACGGCCTTTTCGAGCAAGGTTTGCCTTCATGAAGCTTTTGCAGCTCGTGCGTACCAGCTCGGAGACGTTTGTTGATGCTGCTGCAGATGTGGAGCAGCATCATTGGGACACGCTGGGCGAGGAAAGTTGTCGTCGGTCGTTCCAAGGTCACTGCCGTGGTGCGAGTGGTAGCCGAATGGTAGACGTTTCGACGGTAACGGAACATTCGTGACATGCACCGAATGCAACTTGATATCGAACAGGATCTAGTCGCACACCGACCCATTCGCCATCAACGCGGTTGGACATGTGCTTGCGAGAAAGAAGATGCGCCAGGTGGCAAACGTGATTTCCGTGATGAGGTTTATTTCGCGGAATGTCTCGTACACCGGCATGCATCCCAAAGAGAGAATCACGTCCGTGTTAGTGTCCGAGTCGATATTCGCGATATCGATGATGTGCTTGCTACCAAGTAGGTTGGACTTCTTGAAGACAAATACACCACCAGGGATTTTGACCTTCATGCGCGTCAGCTTCACGCAGGCTTCATTAGTATTCGCTTTCACGCGCAGGTTGCCTTCGGGGAGCTTCGATACTTGCCCGATTGCAAACTCTCTATACATCTGTTTGGGAGCTTCGTTACCATGGTACTTGCCAGTCAGTGGTACCATGATCTTTTGAAGCGAATATCGTCGAACGCGTGTCAGCGCTTGGAATTGGAAATTATTGACGGGAGGCTGCCTGAGATCCATCGACTCATCGTCCGACGCAGCAGCAGCTGCATCAAAAGGCAAGCTGGTGGCAGTTGAAGTCGTGTCTATGAGAATGTCGTCGAGTTCGACCGCATCAGCAGGAACGAATGTTTGGCAGAGCGGGAAGCACAGACGTCGGGGGCGACTGCGTTGTCGGATTAGTGCCTGGCAATTAGCCGGTTGAAGGCCCAAGGCCAGCGCAGATATCCGAGCAAGCTGAGTCAACTGTGTTATTCGGCTGGATACTGGGTGTAAGCGCGAGGGGGCTGATTGGTGGGAAATGGTGAGACAAAAGCAGCTGAATCCATCATCTTTGTGACGGGTCACACGGCACCTTGCACAGAGGAAGCTTGACTTCCAAGAG